ATTTTATTGTCTTTCTCCCTCTATCACGAGGGATATAAATAAGGGGATAGTAGGGTTAGGGTTTAGGCCCATATCATATACAGTAACTAATGGGTTGACCCTATAGACTGGAATGTCCAACTAATAATTAGTATACGATTAACATGTTGGTCCAACATATTGAACCGCCCCAATTAAATAAAAGTTTTCACAATTTTTAAATAGTAAAGTGCATAAATAATTTAGAGACGAAAGAAGTATATGTGGATCTATTTTGTGAGAGTGGGAGTCTATATCCAAATTTAAGTATTTTTTGTGGATCTATTTTGGGAGAGTGAGAGTCTATATCCAAATTTAAGTACGGAGTATTTTTTTGGGTTAATTTTACTCAGTAATTTTTACTCCGTAACATTCTCAAACCACTCACCGGCGCAACTCACGGTTCGAATAAAATACAGAGTAGTCTAGACTCTCTAGCCTGAACAAAGAGAGATAGCTGGAACCGTACTTTTACCGCCTCTCTCTCTCTCTCTCCTTCCCTGCGGAAACACACCGGAAACTCAAGAAAGCAACAACAATCTTCAAAATCGAAGCTCCAAAATCCTGGAATTCCCTTCTTTAATCTGGCCCGGTTCATCTTCTTTTCCTTAATGTGCTGTGTTCATCATTCCTTATACAGTAATACGCGTACTCTTGAAAACTCCACTGGCTGCAAATGTGTCTGGACGCTATCTTGGATTTAGTTTCTGTTTCATAGTTCTGTTCATTCATCGTGTTGTGTAGGAGAGCTCGGGCTCCGTTATAGGTAGGCTTGTACATGCGTGGATGGGTACTGGAATGTTGTTTGTTTCCGTATGAGTTTTCAGGGGCAATCGATTTCCTAGGGTTTCTTGCATCTAATCTTGTTTAACCTCATATCGTAGGCACTGCATTTAGATTTAGAGAATGCCTTTGTATAGAAGAAAAACATTTCCTTTGGAGGGAAAGCCCACTGATTTAAAGGCGAATGAGCTTGTCTTCCAAGTTAAATTCACAAAGGAGATATTCAGGGATTATGAGTAAGACATGACAGCTTGCAACTCATATTCTCTCTTAATCACATTTTTTTAATAAGGATTTATTATTGATGAAAACTAAATGTTTTCTTAGCTCATATTTGAATCAAATGCAGTGATTATGTAAAGCGGGTAAATCTCTATAGGCAGAGGATCTGGACTTGCAAATTAACTGGAAAAAGCAACTTGACATATGCGGAGGCATTGGCTTCAGAAGAGGCTGCCGGGAAAGAGGCCCAACAGTTCCCGAAAGAACTGATGGAACCAGTTCTTCGTGACATTCAATTTAGTAATTTCCTGAACTTGTTGGATATCACTTAGATTTGCTTATGATGCTTCGAGATTTCGTAATATTGCTGGTCCTGTGCCTTGAGTTTTCTACCTACCAGAATGTTGAACCATTCAGCTATAAAGCACGACAATGAACCTCGGGTTATGTGCTTTATTTTGTGGCAGTGCAACAGAAAAATCTTGGTTCTGATATGTTTATACGTGTTTTTGATGTTTTTTAAAATTTCGAAATTGAGTCACATAATGGGAATCTTTGGGCTTCTTATTTAATATTGGCTCAACCAGTAGGTTAATCAGAAAATGTATGTATGCATGGATCTTGAAATGGGGGTTTTCTACTTCATAACTTAGACAAAGGTGAAGTGGTTACTACTTTTTTCAACTTGTTACGTTGCATTTCCAACATTTTTCTGTCAAGATATCGTAAGCATACTAATATATTTGTGGCACACTCTCACCTGTATATTGCATATGGAACTTCTAATATCATGAAGATGACACAAAGAAAGCAATCCAGAAGCACTATTTTACCAGTCTTGGACTGTCTTGTCAAATGTGTAACTCTGTTTTCATTAATGTGAAAGATTTATTATGGCGAAATGTGTCAATGGGGAGCCTGTTGGAGTTTTTTTCATTCAACTTCATTTTCCACTCTTTTAATGACCTTGCAATCTGGATTTTATGCAGGCATGCTTAGTTTAAAAGCTCTTGTCAATACAATTGCTACAAAGCTTCAAGGCTGCTTGTCAGAGGGTAGTGAACTGTATGGGAGGATGAACAATTGTGTTTATCCTTGCATGATTGTCAGAGTTGTAAAAAATCAGAAACCTCTATATCAGGTGTCTTGGATGGACAAATTTGATAAAGTATGTGAAAACACACTATTAAAGGAAGAAGATCTAATACAGAAGAAGCTGCCTTGTAGTAAAGGAGCTCTGAAACTTTTCGTCAGAGAGTCTACATGCCGTAGCATTCCTTGGGTTTTACATAATGAGTTGGCAAAAAACTATGGTATTCCAACTTATCCTCCAGAAGAGCTGAAAGAAAAATTCTCGGTGCAGGATGGAGTGGTTGTTGCCAACAGAAAGAGAAAGAAAATTGGAGAAACAAAAAATGATATAATGGTAACTATAAGTCTGTTTTCAACCCCATCTTTATGACTCTTTTGATGTCGATGGCATAATGATTAGTTCTATTTTTTTTGTGTTTCAGGAAGTTACTGTGTTGTCAGATGACTCAGATTCCAAGAGGGAGTACATTAGGAGAGAAAACCCCAAGTGCTTCACAAATGGAGGGAGTATCGGTGAGAGTTAATGCATAGTCTAATTTGTAAATGCCTTATAATAATGTTTCTCATACTTCAACTTTTGTTCCACTTTGGAGATTATGTTTACCAATACTTGATGTTTTCTGTTTGTTTTTTCTTGATCTGTGCTGATTTCTACTTGTTTTCTGTATATCATATATAGATTTATAAGTATATTAGTCATTGCCTAAGTTTTTCTTCCCACCAAAATTATGCTGGCAGAGAGTAACAGACCAGAGATACATCTGATTAAATATCCTATTGACGATCTACTGCTGCAACCTTTGGACAGTGATATACAATTGACTGAACGCCCTTCTCTGCGTCGTGATTTCAATGTCCCAATGGGTTGTGTGGGGGATCTTTTGATGGTTTGGGACTTCTGCATTTCATTTGGCAAGCTATTGCATTTGTCACCGTTCTCCCTTGATGATTTTGAAAATGCTATCTCTTACAAGGAAAGCAACGTTGTTCTCGTCATGGAGTACCATGCAGCCCTTCTTCAATTTTTAATTAAAGACGGTGGGGAGTATCTCACTGCTATTCAAAAGAAAAAACGGAAGTCGAAAATTACACTGATCACATGGACTGAGTTTTTATGTGATTTCTTAGAAATGACGGGTATTGCAGAATTATCTTCTCATATCTCAACAATTCAACGTGGTCACTATGGCCTTTTAGAGGTTCATGCTAAATTAGGTATTCTGCGGGAATTAGTTGCTCAAGCTATTGAGTTAGACCTTTTCAAGCAAAACTTGGATGGGGATATCGAGAAGAGGCAAGCACTGGTAGCAGCTAGGAGGGCTGAAGCACTGGAAGAAGGTAGAAAGAGGAGAGAAGAACAGCGTTTAAAGGCTCAGTCTGCTGGAAAAGAAGCAATTGACAACTCACATGACAGGTTCTAGATCTATCATCACTCAAGATTTGTTATGTTGGTAATATGATCTTGGTCTTTGCTTATGCGTTTTCTTACCATAACCTTTCTCCCTCTAGTGAAAGTGGAGTAGCAGATGCATCTTTTAAGAACAATAAGAAGCAAAAGATAAATGTAAAAGATGGCACTGAAAACATGAATGAACTCGATAAATCAACACAAAGTAAGTGCACGGATCATCTCCAAAGGGAAGCTCATAAAATGCAGAAGAATGAAAAAAGGGATGCAATTGAGATTCAAAGCAAGGAACAGAGGGTGAGCTCTCTCTCTCTCTCTCACTCTGACTTCCTATCTCCTGCATGTAGAAATTCAATATGTATAAATATTGCTGAACTTTGATGGCATTAGTATTCAAAAATTTGACACAAAACTAAACCTCGTTATCGTTAGTTGTGCCTTGATGCTTGTGATTCATCTTCCAATTCAGAAAGAATATCTTGAGCGGGAAATACAGAAGATAATAATACGCACCAATCCATTGGGGAAAGATAGAGAGTATAATACATATTGGTTTTTCAGACAAGATGCAAGAATATTTGTGGAGAGTCCTGATTCCCTGCAATGGGGCTATTATTGTTCCAAAGAGGAGGTATGAAAGTTGTGGCATCATCTGTTTTTGTTTTTCACATATTTCTTTAATAATCCTCAAAGCTTCTGTCTGGTTGCAGCTTGATGCTCTGCTGGGCTCACTTAATGTGAAGGGTGTAAGGGAGAGCGTTCTTCAAAAGCAATTGAAAATTTTTTACAGCAAAGTTAGGTAATAATTATATCCAAATGTGGCCTTTTAATACCAATTTCTACTACTACTACTACTACTGCTGCTGCTGGTGCTGTATTATCATGTTCATTCTTTCCATGATCTAATAAAAATAACCAGTACATTTGGGCTGAATGGGATATTTGCAGCTCGGGAATTCAAAAGAGAACAAAGGAGGAAGCTGTGCGAGGTTTAATGGAAGAAGCTGTTGTTCGTAGGTCTACGCGTATTCAGGCCCCACCAAGAGACAATCCCGCTCTTGCTTTCTTGAAGTACATCAACAAGTGGAAGGACGAGTAAAGAAGACTCTCCCTTCACTTCTGAAAAGCCTTTAATCTGCCATTTGATGCCACACCTGAAACTAACCTCACCCTGGATTTGAAACAGGTCATCGTTTCTTCCAATTCTAGTCAAAACCACGCCATGTTTTACTTTCATTGTAGAATCTGTTCCTCGTTTTCTCTCTCCATAGTTAACCTTTCCTAACTGTGCCATGATGGGAATGAAATTTTAGCCCTCTCAATCCTATAATCATGGGCTTTTTGTGATTGGGAAGAGTTGCAGATGATGTTTATGGTCTGCTGTGCTTCTCTCGTTTGACCCGAGTCGTTCCCCTAAAACATAAGTTATGGGCATCTTACCCATGCGGGTAGTGCCCATATAGGGTTTGGGACATTTAGATCTCCAATCACACTTGTAGCAAGTATATAGTAGTATAGCTAGCTATTTTGTATTGTCATCTTCAATCTTCTTTTCAACAATTTAGCCAAGAATTATACGTGAGTATTATTCTTCGTACTGTTTGCACTATTATAATACACTATTCATAATTATTTTTAAAGTATACTCCCTCCATCCCTTAAAACTTTTTCTTTTCATCCGTCCCAAATTTTTTTTTCACTTTCTATTAAAAATTACTTTTATCTCTACTTTTGTCTCTACTAATTTTTATTCTACTTATCACATCATATTTATTCACTATCAATCTATTCATCACTTTCTACTTTAACTCATCACATTATTTTTTGAAAAGTCAATACAAAAGTATCTCTTCTTTAAACCATTAAAAGTCAAAAAGAAAAATGTTATAAGGGACGGAGGTAGTATTATTTTATATTCATAAAAATTACTGGTAATAATATGTACTTCCTTTGTCCCAATTTAAAATATCTGTTTCAGTTTACGATGTTTGGTTGAAATTATTTTCAATTCATTTTATATAAAAATAATATGGAATTTAAAAGTAAAAATTTATATATTTAAAAATTACATTTAAAGTTCTACAAAATATGAGGTGACATGACTATGATGTTATCAACTAAGTACCAAAATAGTATCGAAAATGGTTAAAGTTTGACCATGTAAATAGTCAATAGACAATATAAATTGGGACGGAGGAAGTGTGCAATTTGCTTTCAAAAATAATAAATTCAGAGAATGTATTTTAAAAATAATAATTTAAAATAAAATAATATTTTAGTTAATAGCTCCCTCCATCCATATTAAATTACGCCCTTTTGACAAGAAAGGTAAAATAGTATCCTTTGTGTAGACAAGAGAAAATAATGGGGCACCATATAGTTCTTTCTTTATAAGGAAATTAGTATCACACTTGTTGCACGGCTCGTATTGATGTTATAAATGTTTATTGGTGTTATTCTCGAATGTTGGCTTTGACTCTTATTAATCATCATTGCATATGAAATAATCATAAAAAATTGTTTTCTTTGAAACTTGAACGACATTTTAAAATAAGATATATGACATATAATGTACGATGGATCTCATATTTCCAAGTGTTTTATATCAGTTATGGAAGACCAATTTGACTGGAATGGATAGCCATTGTAGATGCAATGGCCAATTGTTCACTGGGCTGATTTTTTCACATGGTGGGTCAAACGACCATTGTAGGCTCAATATTTGTATTACAAAAGCATTGTTACATTATAAATTTGTATTGGTATCATTATAAAAAGAAAGAAATAATGTTTTTCATTTTTGTAAAACATGAATATCATATAAATTACAAATTTTGAAAAACTTTTTTATAAACTACGTTAGTGCTACATCTTTTAGAAACATCCTCAGCTCTACGTCGTGAATAAGAATTTTCAAGGCATTACGATTTGTTACTTTTGAAACTGCAACATATAATTGTCCATGACAAAATGTTGGTTTCCTACGTGTTTTAGTGATTGGCCTTGATTCTTATCAATTGTAATTACATATGAAGTACTCATAGGAAATTGTCTTCTTTGCAACTTCAATTGTATTATTGCATCAGATGTGTTCTAGATAATATCTTCCCTTGTATTGACTGATTAGCTAACCAAGTTATTATCCATCAAGTAGTATTACACAAACACATTTAATGATCAGTGTTTATTAGCAACATAATTGGAGCGTCTACCTTCAAAATGAGCTCATGACTTGGTACTCTAGAAGCACGATCTTATTCAAGAACTCGGGAGTATGTAAATCAGTAAAAAAAATTGAATTAGAGTCCAAGTTCACAACCTTGTCAGAACTAAGATAAGTGCGTGATTCCTCATTGGGATTTATCAATGTCATATATTCATTTATAGAATCAACAACATCCAAGGTTGGAGCTAAAATTCCACGGTCCTGCAAATAGCTTGGATCATTGGTTATTTTATGAAAATCTAGATAAGTAGAATTCACTATAGTGACTATTGGATCTTCTGAATATGGAAGCAACATATCATCAAATATTGTTCATCTTCTACAACTCTGGGCCGATACTTGCAATATAGTCAGCGAAATCAACTAAGTGGTCGTAACTAAATATGATGAGCCCACAACGTACAATCTAGGCAGTTTCTCCTGAAGAAAGATTTAATAAAGTTAATAATTGTAGAAAGCATTAAATAAAATAAATTTGACATCAAATATGATAAATTTTTATTTATGTATACCTATGGTCTTCCGACAGAACCTCCATCATCCTCTCATGAACACCCTTAACCATGTGATCTTTGTACGACTAACAATTTTTCCAATGACATCTGTGATTAAAATAAAAGGATATAAGATTTAATTTATTTAATCTATACGTGACATATGAAATTTTTCTATATAAATATTATATAATTTACTAACCAATCAACAGAATGTCGTTTATCAAAAGTAATAACTTGATATCATCGAAGGGCATAAATTTGCATTGAAAATTTGGAAATAAGTCTGAAGATAATTTTTGAAGTGTGGTTCTTTCAAAAAACAGTATCATATAAGGATGTGAGGTTGTCTTAGTGTTCTGTAAGTTTCACTGAACTCTGAACTTGGTTAAACCATTAACTTTGTTTTCTTCGAGGTCATCTTGAAAGTATCGATATTCGAATCTCTTATCTGCTCATGAATTTGATTTCCCTGTAAATGCAAGTCTTAATTGCTTATGTAATTATAATTTTTTTAAATAAATATATTAAACCTGGATCGAACTAAATTTATAACAAACTTTTTGATAATGAAAGCTAACATCAAGAGATTCTGGCACTCGATCATGGGCAACGGTTCAATAAACTCTTTTAGCTCTCACTCTTATCATGAAGGGGCAAAAGTATCATCAATTTTATCTAGAGTCAATCCGAAAAGGAAAAAGTTTTTTTTAAATAAATATCATCGCTATTAATTATTCCTACGCATTAATTATTCCAAAAAAGAGAAGTAACCGTGATTCGGATCAGCAAGATTAATTCTAGAATTTTCGGATCAGCAAGATTAATTCTATGTTCGATCTAGAAATCTTTGGATATCTTATATTCGGAAATGCAATGTTCTAGATCAGATCAGTTGAATATCCGAATATCCAGGATGGAATTAAATTTTTTTAATTCACATTACTGTTGCGCCAAGAATATTTCACACTAGTGTGAAGCAAAAGACAACAAAGAAATGAGTATACTCCGTATCACTTTGGAAATAGTATACTTATTCATAAAATAAACCTGAACAACTAATTTCATTGTCATGATACTCTCAAAAAAATTCATTGTCATGATTACCATAAGAAGATATACTATATATAGAGAGAGAAAAACTAGTTACTATTATGAAATTAATCAAAATAGTTTTGTAGCTTATTTTTATAAAATGAATTAGAAAAACTAAAAACTCATAATTACTACCCCGAGTAGTATTATGTCTTTACACCAAAAAAGTGACTATTTTGTATCATGGTTGAGCGTAAGGCTTATGTTATAAGACGTGGATCGCACCATTACCTCCACTCCTTCCTGTAATCTCAATGTCTTTTCTCTTTGTTATTACGGAGTATATCAATGAGTAAATTACTCAATTAGGACTAGAACATAGACCTTTTCCTTAAATAGGAGTGGTCTTATGCTACCCAACGTTTCTATATGCGAAAAGACTATAATAGCTTCCAACATAGAATTTAATGAGGAAAGGAAACACACGCTTTGTACGGAAAATTGTGAAAGAAAAAGCATTAATCTCGGTTGGGTGATATGGTGCACTACTTACCATGTATATCCAGAATTCTTTCGCATACAGATTTCAAGGTCACCAGAGTAAACCTTGATTTCGCGTCGTCTTCTCCCAATTAGGGCTGCTGAACCAAAAGTACTTCAAAATTTGGCGCCACCGCTAAGGAAAATCGATGTCAACGAGAAGCACTGCATCGAAAAATGGTGACCAGATTGTTGTAAATGATGACGATTTATACGCTGACAAAATGCCGATTTAGTGAAGACCACCTCAGGACAGAGTGCGTTTTTTATTATTTAATATTCATTTTGAGAAGTCTTTTGAAATGTTTTTGCAATCATAGTAGTTTATAAAAATGTGTGTAGAGTATTGAAGTCAATTGTTACTATTTTTCTGATTTCTTCAATTCTTTGATAATATGGAGTTTTCAATATGAACCTTCGTGCACAGGGCATTATTTTTGAATAATTTTGGGTTTTTTATAGACTGAATCTTGATAAAAATTATACTCCCTCCGTCCCTAAATAAAGTTCTTCTTTCGTTTTTTCTTTGTTCCCAAATAAACTTCTCTTTTCCCTTAAAAAACCCTTTTATCCCTTACTTTTTCATACCCTAACTATCACATCATACCTTTTTACTAATATTCTATCTATCACATCTTACTTTTACACATCACATCAAGGGTATTTTTGAAAAGTCAACACAAAAATATCCCTCCCTTAAATCCTTAAAAAGTCAAAAATGGAACTTTATTTAGGGACGGAGGGACTAAGAAATTTGGGTATTTGAAAATTTTGAAAGGAATATTGCATGTGAAAGTGACATAGAGAAGGCCATTTCTAAAAGAGTAATTTACTTAAATAGGACTAAAACATAATGACTTTCCTAATATAGGACTATATGTTTTATTTCCATCATCTCCGATGGAGCCAAAATTTCACCATTTTTTGGCTTTGGGGTGTGATGGAATAAATCAAAATGGATCTCTAAACTGTTTGCGCTTCTTTAATTAATGAAGTAGCAGCTAGTCAAGCAATGCAACTTTTGACGTTGAGCCGGGGGTCTCTTTGGAAACAGCCTCTCTACTTTCAAGTAGGGGCAAGGTCTGCGTACACACACCCTCCCCAGACCCTACTCTTGTGGGATTTAACTGGGTTGTTGTTGTTGTTGTATGTTTTTATTTTCTAATGTAGGACTTTTGATCATTATGACTTAGTCATTATTCAAGTAAATGTCCATCATTACTGGACATTATTTCTCCCACTAAGACATTAATAAGTCCTATTTAGGGAATAAAAACGTTTAAATCCTAGATTAGGAAAGTCATTATGTTTTAGTCCTATTTAGTGCAAATTTCACTTTTCAAAACGAAGAGGGTATATAAGCTTAATTGATAATGACCTTGATGTAGGAGAACCATGGCTAGTTTGTAATGCTCAACTTTAAAATCAATTGTCACTATTACTTAATGCTCTCAGTGGCAAAAATGTGATATTGAAAAGTATAAGAAGCAACAAGAGATGGTTCATATTCACAATTTAATATGAGAAATTTATGTAAATAACACTAAAATATAATGACTTTTCTTAAATAGCATCACATGTATTTTTTTTTAATGTAGCACTTTTAGTCATTATCCATTAGTCATATCTATTTACGGAATAAAACAGTTTAAGTGCTATTTAGAGAAATGACTTAAATTTTAGTGCTATTTACTGCAAATATTTCATTTAATAATTATACATGGGGGTTTGAAATATTTTAAAATTTATTGTGATAGGCAAACAATGACTATGATTAAGAAAGTCATTTAATAGAACTATTTGGGTAGTTAGAATACGTCTGAATGCCTTGGGGTAGTAAGTGTAGTAGGGTTATTTGTTTTGTTAAGTCTTGATTGTAAGAATTGGGGGTGAAAATGATTTAATAATAACCTAGGGAGAAATATAATGGTAGGCATGAGCTGTTGTTGTTTACAATGCCTGGAGATGATAAGCCGTAAATACTTTGGTATGATATATTAATGACTTTAGGATTTAATGACTATATGTGTTGTAACGTTGGACACGCGAGAACGTCCAATGAGAGATAATGTCCTAATTATGGAACCTGGATCGTGCTGCCCAACAAAAGGACGGGTATGTTTTGTGAAGTTGTGCGATCAACGTGAGTCAACTGAGCTATGTTTTGTGAGATCATGCGATGTTACTATTTTTTTTTTTTGCATGACGCAGGTCAAGGTGTGAGATGTTTAATTCGTAGTGAAGATGGAAGAATTTTTTATGATGGGACATGAAGTGCGGGACATTGATCATCATAAAATTGATGCATATCAGAAAAATTGACAACAGAGTTTTTGGCTTACTCTGCCATCTCAAAATGAAGTGAAAGATTGGGCGTGCTTTTTGTTTATTAAATACTGTTTTAATGACTAATATGCTTATGCATTGCGAGACATTTAGTTTTGGAATCAGACTTTTTAATTCAGCCCTCGTAGACATTTTGTTAAGTATGTTCTAGATATTTCATGTCAAAATTTGGGCTTGAGTAATTTACTTAAATAAGACTAAAACATAATGACTTTCTCAATATAAAACCATATGTTTTTATTTCTCAATATAGGACCATTGGTCATTACCTATTAGTCATTATTCAACTAAATGTCTAGCATTACTTTGACATTATTTTTCTCACTAGTCATTATTAAGTCTCATTTAAGGAATAAAAAAGTTTAAGTCATATATTGAGAAATGACTTATGTTTTTTTGTCCTATTCAGTGCAAATTTCACATTGATGTTTTGTTTAACTTTCGTTCACAAGAAAAATGTATGTAACATTTATTCCAATGAGTATGTTTTAGAGTTTTTTTGGTACATCGATAAGTTTTTATTTAAAAGAGGAATTTTGATACTTAGAAATTATTGATAGGTATACAAGATGACATTTTGCTATAAAAAAAAACATAGACTATGCACACAATATGACATTTAAAGTCTTTATGCTTACACCAGAAAGGACATTACCTTTAAAAAAAAACTTCACACAAAAGGACATTATGCCCAAAAGTGTGCAAAGATCACGAAAAAAAATGAAAAGTAATGACTTTATGCTCATATCTCAAAGGCTGGGCATTACATAATGAACTCAAGATCATGAGTCAAACAAATTTTGATCCACAACAACACAAATAATGGTAGCATTGGACAAAAACACAAAAAGAAATGTACGTACGTGTGAATCTAAAACAAATTAACTGCATGTAAGAACAAATTAATTGAGGAAGAATTATCGTATGTAGAACAAATATAATTACAATTATAATAAGGAAAATGGTGAATCAAATGAAATGAATATTTTGCGAGCACAAGTGTAATTGAACAAACAATCATCACTCTATTCCCCGTTAACTTAAAAAAGGATGCGTCTTGATGATGGTGATAAATAATTTGGAAAACAAACGAATTACAGTAACAGAGAAAACATGATGGTTAAAAATGCATTGAATGGGGACTGGATTGTTAGGTCAATCTCATGTGCATATCTATATGAGAGTGTGCCATCAAAGTTCCGTTCGCCGTCAAATAGGAATAAATAAAAGATGGATGGTAGACGATGTCGACGATCCTGCAGCAAGATTTGATACAGAAGCCAATGAAGAAAACATAGGCGTAGGGAACACATGATCGAGGACGAAGAATTGTAGCGGCCGGCTTTGACCAGAGGAAGATGAAAACCTAGATACGTGCGGGATGAAGGGGAAGTTAATGGATGCAAAAATGGGAAAAATTACCTAAAATATGGGAGAAGTTATGAATCATTATCTTCTAAATATGACAACATAATCATAAATAAAAAAGGAAGCTATGGAGTAGGAGGAATGCGTTGGGTTAGGCAAGGGTAATCTTGGATACACGACTGAAATTAACTCCTATATATGGAAAAAAACAAGTCAAGTCCTATTTAGGGAAAATACATATGTTTGAGTCCTAAACACAACAAATTTTACTATATCAATACCCTTCCAGAGGTGTGGATCACACCCATCCCTTCCATCCATTTTTTTTCTTTCTTCTATACTCCCTTCGTCCATATATTATTTTCTCACTTTCCTTTTTCTTCCATCCACAAATTATCCTTCCATTTCCTAATTTGGTAACTTTCCTGGGTGAATTCACTTATTTACCCCAACCCACGAACCTTATCAGCAAACCATCATCTTCATTTTTCTTCAATCATCCACCACACATCTTCATCTTCCCCGACTCACCTTTCATCGTCATTCCTTCCATAGTATATCATCTTCTTCATCTTCCCCGGTCCACACCGCCATCTTCTACATTCCAAATCTTCGTAATTTCTTCCTCATCTTCATCGAGATCGAAGATGAATAAGTGGTCATGCCTTCAGATCTAAATAAGTCTCTGCTGAAAGCTTCCCCTTCAATTCCGATTTCCATTTTCAATTTTAAGATCATTTTTTCAATATGCAGCATTTCACGAACTAGAACATTTTTTTTCAATGAAATTAAACTTCGAAGGAGCAATTCCATATTGGTCATGTGGTTTTTGAAGGGAGAGACGGAACCAGCAAAAGGGACAAAGGGAATTATGTGTTTCTGTACTCCCTCCCCAACCAGGAGAATGAATGTAGGTAAGTTACGATACATGCTCTAACAGATGACATGAGATTGTGAAAGAAAAGCGGGGACATTATGGGAAAGTCAATGAAAATTTTAACTTTTATTAAACTCTATGTCGGGTCAAAGCGGGAAGATAAAAGCTGAAGGGAGGGAGTATTTTTTACAGTTACTTAAATTAAAATTACTTAAAATAAAAAACATTAAATAAATATTTTATTAATAATTAAATTAAAATAACAGTGACATAATGCAAAAAAAAGAGGAATAAAGTAGGGTATAAAAAAAGATTATTCATCTTCCAGAAATAGTGTAGCGAAATTCCATAAATGCTCAACCAGATCGACACAAATGTCTGGTGTGTGTGCGTGTTGAGATCTTGTAACGACCCGAAAACCAGCTTAGCAGTTAGCCGTTATTTTGAGAAAAAATGTATTATTTCTTTTATTTTTAAAATTAAAAATATGAATTATTTGTAAAGTCAACCATTTTATCTAAAAATTAGGTAGTTGGGTAGATCTCGTGAAAAAAGTGACCAACGATATATAGTTTGTTAAGTTTGGACTTTTGTATAAAAAGTTGTGAATGAAATAGATGTTACAGTTAAATAAAAAATGTAAAGATTTTATAATGTAATAATAATAAATAATTATTTTCCTAAATCTACTTCTATTACCGTTCGAATTTATTATGTTCTCGGGTTAGAACCAAAAGTTTTGTTTTGAATTAATTAATTAAGCTTCGACACCATTTTGTTAACTATGATGGATATTTAAATATTGTTTTTGAATTATATGCTTTGAAGTGTTTTAAAAATAAGATGTATTTGGGTGCTAATCTAGTGACAACCCGATCTGCTGGCCTGTGTATTCGGGTTACGCGGGTCGGGGTATTACAGATCTTGTTATTATTCATCTACGTGTTCAACGTTTTCATTGACACCATTCTGATCTTATTTGCATATCACATGTCATTTGTCTTCGATAATCATGTTATGTATGATGCACTAAGTGTACATAACAATTCGTAATGTTTTGAATGAGAAAGCTCACGCTCGGTTTTGTATAGTGTGTCTTCTCTACTTTAGCACACAAAAAAGACATCCCACATGATTTCTTGTCGATTCTTAGTATTTGGCAAATTTCTTTATCTTCAGATCATCATAGAATGGTATAATTTTTACTATGGCCATGCAGTCTAGATATACACCATCGGCAAGATAATACTTGTGGTTGTATTGCACCAAAAATCTACTTTCTATTGGCCATCATGTTGCAATGTAAAAAAAGAGTTGCACTCGCCAAATCGCTGGCAATATAGAGAAAATGATGGTGGCTCATGCAAAGTCTATGCCTGAATTGTTCCTTAGTATAGAGCAAATTTTCAGGAAAATAATTCGCATCCAATCTTCGTGCCCACCTATGCATTAGTTTGATAAAATTTAAAATAATATTAAAAAATCACGTAATTTGTAGTGTGAGATGAAAAAATAGGAACACCGATTCAATCTTTGTTAAGGGTTCTTCTTCTTCTACGTGATTCAACTGGTTCGGTGTTTTGTTGTTGGTGCATAAGAATTTGAACCGCTTGTGCCATTGTATTTGATATTTTTCGAATTCTTCGAATATGATATTTTTTTAACAGCTCTAGTGTACATCATGATATCGTCATTACAGAAATTTCTCATCTCTTATCTCTCATATCACATAGGTTGGGCACCGTGACCTCCCCCTAAAGGATTTGGGTATTCTACACTTCTTCATGGCGTTGAAGTTTAACACACCAAGGTTACTATTCTGCTTCCTCAAACTATGTATACTCCTGATCTTCTCAATAAGACTGGTTTGGGTGATTGCAAACCCGCCACCACTCCTATAGCGGTTGAAGGATTCAGTAATTTTCCTCTCTGTTCTCAGTACCCACTCTCTTCCACATCAATGTCAGTGGCATGCACTATTTGGCAATTACTCGTCCAGATATTCAGTATGCACTTAAAAGGGTGTCTCAGAGCATGCACAATTGAACTGAGCATCATTAGTTGGCATTGAAGCGCATCCTCCGTTAAATAAAAGGTAGCTTGAACTGTGACTTCTCTTTCAAAAAGATTCTCTCGACATTTCTGTTTATTCCAATTCTTACTGAAAACGACAAACTTGACCATCATTCTTCTATTGGCTACCTTCTTATGCTTGGATTGAATCTCATCTCCTTGTGTACGAAGAAACAGAATCGTGTCTCCCGATCTTCTACTGTAGCTGAATATTTTGCCATGACCGGAGGGTGGCCAAAGTTATGTGGCTCTGTTATATTAGAGATGCTCTTGGTATTCCTCTCTCAAAATTGCACATCTAATGCGACAATGAATCTACTATCTATGGCACGAAGAATTCTGTTCTACATGATCAGATGTAGCATGTTTGCTCTGATTATCATTTTGTGCGAGATGAAGTCATGAAAGGTACTATGTCCACTAATCATATGCCGTGAGTTCCGTCCGGTGAGAAGCTCGCAGCAAACCATTTTCACCAGCTCTATTCTAGAACTTGTATTCCAAGCTGTCCATCATTTTCATTGATCAGCTTTCAGGAAGACAATAGGAAGTAGAAGCCTAACTCAGCATTATTTAGTTTCCTTAATCAATGTTACTATATTTATATCCCTACCTTAATTAAGATTCTCTTTTGTAATCTTAATACATGCTCCTTGAGGATTCATTATTCAATAAGATCCATAATTTATAAAATTGTATCACCCTGCATTAGGAAAACCGAGAAGTTTATGCACTATTTCTGTAAGTTTTCTAATTTTTATTTCTTGAAACAATTCATATTGAAAATGAACAAATTTCAAATATTCGTCAGCTGCAGTAGGTGTTTACAGAATCAAAAATTAAATACAAAAAAGTAAATAAAATAAAAGGTTCAGTGTTTCGCCCATCCATAACGATTATGATATTGCCTCCTCATAAGAACGATTACATGATCTCAACAACTGCTCGGCCAGTGATATTGCCTTGGTCAAGATCTGTGTATGCTTCTCCTGCCTCTTCAAACTTGTATTTCCTGGAAACAGATGCTGTGAGATTGAAGATGCCACACTCTACAAGTTTGATCAACTTTGGAAGATCTTGTCTTGCCCTGGCCCCATATGACCCAATCACTTTTATCTGTACAGAAGAAAGAGAGATGCAACAAATCATAGACAGTCAACAACTCAGTTGGATCTCAAAAGAGTAGGGAGAGTAGGGTCTGGGGGTATGTGTAGTGTATGCAAACCTTACCCCTACTCGAAAGTAGAGAGGCTGTTCCGAAGAGATCCCAGGTCGGTTAACACAAATAGCATCGCAAGCACAGGAAGCAAAGAACAGGAAAAACAAAGCAAAGAGCACGAAAAAGAAGCTGACTAATGTTAAATCACAAACAATCATCATCCGCAAATCAATGCGGGTTTGGCTACATGAGTAGTAAAAGCAAAATCAGAACCAGAAAAGGCAACAACTGATTCAGACCTGTCTTCGGACCAAATGATTAATGTCGACCTCGCCTTTAGAACCAGAGAGAGCAAGCCCAATCATCACAGCTTTCCCTCCATCTCTAACACTTTGTACACATTGCCCAAATGTTTGAGTTCTACCCAATGCTTCAAAAGCAATATCTACACCCTTTCCTCCTGTGATTTCCTGTCCATTTCAGCACTCCCCTTTAATTTGTAGCATTAAATTCAGGTTCTTTAAGTTTTTTGAAGCATACCATCATTGCTTAGAAGTGACTCGAGGAAAAGAGTACCTTAATTTTGTTCACTACATCTTCATTCCTTGCATTTATTATGTGAGTAGCACCAATGGATTTAGCTTTCTCTAGCTTCTCCTCTTGAACATCAACAGCAATGACCTCTGAAGCTCCAAATGCTCGTGCCAACTGTAGACAGCTATACAAGGTTTCTCGGTTTTAATTTTGTAAAAGAAGCCTAAAACCTGAATAGCAGACGACACTAACCAATAGAAATATGTAGCGTGAGGTGGGAAATTAAAACACCTAAGAGATGTGTTTCTTATTTGGGCACAATTCCCAAAGCCAACGTCATATTCCTTGAGTTTTAGCTATTTTTATGTAAATCATCCTCTTTCATGCAATATGACACAATACTTAAAAAAGTTATAAGAACTGATACTTTCAGGATGCTTATGAGCTGATGAGTGAAAAAACATGGAAAGGGGTCTTTCCTTTTAAAATACCTTGAGCCAACACCACCTATGCCAATGACCGCAATCACATCACCAAGACGCACTTGTGCAGCATGAGCCATTGCACCATAAGCCGTGAACACTGCACATCCTAAAATTGCAGATTCTGTATAAGGTAGCGAGTTAGGTAGAACAGCCAATCCATGTGCTGGCACCACACAATATTCAGCTAGACCTCCCATACTGTACATATATGCCGGTTTCCCTGAAAAGACAACATATGGAGCTAATGAGTCATGCTATGCGACACTTTAGATTAAAGACTTTTCAGATGGACGAGTTCTGATGGTTTTGTAGGGGAAGACTTTGGAGAGCTTACTCTATGCCTCTACAAATAGAATCTGTCTAACAACGAATGAAATGTGATTAAAATGTTCAGGTCACATATTAAGTCATTTCTCTATTTTATGAATCTTAGGAATAAATATCAAGACATAGAGTTAGCCCTTGAAAACCCCCAATTCAATCATGCCCGAAGAAAAAATTTATGAAGGGGAAACAAAACATTATCTGACGGCCTCTGGATGTTCATTCATAAACATTGCAGACAAAAATGTATCAGTCCAAATATGACCTGTTTTCATCATTACTAGGTGGGAAGCAGCCATGAAATACAGGATCGAGCAGACACAAACACACAGTAATTTATAAGTGATCTACGAAATGTGTCATCCCAAATTTTTTTTTTTGAAAAAAGGCAGCCCGGTGCACAATGGCATCCCCGCTTAGCATGGTGCCCAGGGAAGGGTCCCACCACAAGGGTGTAGGCAGGTCATACCCTACATATTTTTGCAAGAGGCTGCTTCCAAGCTTGATCCCATGGCCTCACGGTTACACAGATTTCAAAACAGAATGAAAATTATAAGTATATGATTTGGATTTTCATATGGCATACAAGCAGAATATGATACTTGATCCGTGTATCTTGAAAGCATGAATCTGAAACTTTCAGCTAGATTAAAAAATTGACAAACTTACCTCAACAGACAACAGCTATCATTATGAAAAAAAGAAGGATCAATTCTCTTGAGAAACGAGATCATGTAAGAAACTATAAACTATATATGGATCCATTTACAAGTGAGAAAATAAGCATATCACCATTGCTGCGGAAAAACAGTCGTGTTTCACCATCATAAAGGGTTCCCTTAGCTCGGTTGTAAGCAAAGAAAGACTCGCACAAGTCATCTTGACCCTGTTCTCAGAAAAAGTCTGGACTGTAAGTAGTTTGGTGTGCTCCTATTTAGCAAACTAATTTCAATATTCACCTTTGAACAGAACCCACAGCTACCACAAGGCATGATAAAGGCTCCTACCACTCGAGCTCCCACAGGAAATCTGCAGTTTATTTAAAAAAATCAATAACGAAACGTCTCACCTTCTCCAACGCAAAAACAAAATAGTATACCAGCTCAATAAAATCTTGATGATTTGACCTTTTAACGATATTACTGTCTGTGAGAGGCCCGTGCTCAACCACCTCACCAGCTATCTCATGCCCCACAACACAAGGGCTTGCAAACGGAAGTTCACCTTTAATTACATGCAGGTCAGAGTGGCAAACTCCACATGCTGCTTAATCAAGCATTATAAGTAATAGAATTTAGTGCTTGTCTAATATTTGCAAAAGAAAAGTAGATCATAAGCATAGTCAAATGAGACCCAATTGCATATGCATTTTGTTGCAAAGTGCAAACTAAATAACCAAGCTGCCAAGGGTATTAGTTAAGGGGAAGGGGTGAAAAGTGCATTTGGAGAGTGGCTCTTGATGGACTAGCATTTACAATATTCCCTCTGTTCCAAAAAAAAAGGTACCACTTGCCATTTACGATGTTTGACTCTAAGTTATTTTCAATTCAATTATTTTTGAGTTCATGTGAAATTAAATGATAATTTTTTTATATTTTAAACTACATCAAAAAATTTACAAAACAAGAGGTAACTTGACGATTTTATTCGATCAAATGATCTCAAAAAACATAAGATAAAGTTTAGCAATGTGAGTAGCAAAACAAAACCTTTTTTTCTAGGACACAAGGAGCATGTGTGTTTAGTCTTCTTCAATAACACACTGAAGCACGAATACAAACATCTTCACAAACACAGTTGAGTGGTAATGAGCGTTAACCAACTGAAGATGAGCAAGAATTACAAAAATTGTGCTGGGTACCGATACACTAAAAAAATAAATGAACATAAAAGCAAGCATCACAAAGATCAGTCCAGTTAAGTTCATTTAGCCACCTAATATTCATTTATCTACGACCAATATCCTCAAGAAGAAAGACCAAATAACCAAGGGGCTATTTAAGCCAAATATCTCTCCTAATCAGTAACTCAGTAAGAACTAAGAAAGACCAGCAAACAGCACATCTGCAAGGAAACATACAAATCGTTCCCTGCATATTCCATTAACCGTATTTACAAGATCAATTGCGTCAATGTACAGAAGAGATGCACTGCACCTTTGGTTTTGATAAGAACTTCGTTAGCTTTGGGGCGGGGCATGTGGAAATCCTCCAAAGATAAAGGCTTATTAGGTTCCGAAAACACTGCGGCGCGCATGTGGGACGGACCCCCCTGCAGATGATACGCTGACGCAGCATCGGAGCTAAAGGTTCTGTGGTTGCAATCGCCGCCACTGTGAGCACTCGAGGTAGAAATGCAGGGAGAAGAACCGGAGAAGGCAGCAGCTGTCGGGGGGCATTTGCTAACGCGGAGGAGGCTGCCGCCAGAGACAGCGCGGCGGACGAAAATAGACCCGCGACTGAATGCCATGGGGGTGTGAAGGTCCGATCAAAGAACGGGGGTGGATGTAGCCGTTGCTTGTGCAGGGGAGGTGATTGGGCGAGGAGGAGAACTGGAGAAGTACAGAGGCGCAACGAGGATTGATCGGAGGTGATTTAGACACACACACTTACTCCCTCACTCATTTGTTTGTACACTTTCATTTTTGCACACCTTTGTATATTAAAAAATTATAAAAATTATATATTAATAATCTATATGTTAAGACGAATCAAACAAGATCACACATGACTATTTTTAGGCTTACACATTGAGAGAATTTGATGAGTCAAAGTGCTTAGATGAACAGTTCCAAAAGTCAAAAGTGGACAAACACTCAAGAGGTGCCCACTTCAAAACCAGGGGTTCTAAAACACCCAACAAGTGGCCCAATGAAAAGTAAACATGTGGGCACAATATTCATATCATTTAAGGCTCTCAAAACCAGGTGTCATTTCCCTTGCTCCGTTGCAGAATGCTAGGGTGCCACCACATAGGTGCTACCATGTGTGCGCCCATGCTTCACACAGACAAACAAAGACGATAATTGTCTGTGTCACACAGACAATTATCGTCTGTGTTTGTCTGTGTGAAGCATGGGCGCACACATGGTAGCACCTATGTGGTGGCACCCTAGCATGATCCTCCTCCGTTTCTATCACAGTTAACGCCATATATCCATTTTGTTTTCGTGAGGACCATCTCCATGTCCAGGCCATCGGTTCCTAACGATGAGACGCTACCGCTGCCACCTTCTTGCCAAAGCCGTCCGACGAAATAATTCAGGCAGCATATATAGATTTGCCCCTTCCGGACTCAGGGTTTTAACCCTAGATGGGCGCTCATCTCTTCAAGTTCGGCTTTATTTTCAGAGGAAGAGAAAGTAAAATAATTTAATTGAAGATTGGGGATAATTGCAATAAACAAAAATAACTTTAGTGCCTTATTAGATGACTTAAATGAGGTGGAACATTGTCTGCACATGTCCATTTCTCATTGCACCACATGTTGAGTGTTTTAAAACACCCAATTTGGAAGTGGCACCGAAGGAACCACCTGTCGAGTCAAACGATTTACGAAAAAAAAAGAAAAGAAGACATCATAAAAAATTAAGAAGAGAAGATGTCTACAAAAAAATCTATAGTTTGCACTTTGGCACAAACATCGTAAATTATGTTTTACAAGTTAACCACATTTCCAATAAGTTGATATGTTATTCTCTATTGTTAGATGTACTTTTCTTATGTACTTTTCTTGTTTATTCTAATATCTACAAGCATAACAAGTTTTTTTTTTGAAAACCAAGCATAACAAGTTAGTGCACCATATAAGTCTAAATGTATCACATTTTGTTTTAATTCTATAAAATTTAAAGTATATTAAGGAGTATATTCTAACCATGCATCGCATAAGTGAAAACTCTAGTACTATATTTAACCCCAATTCTAAGTTTACATAATTACAGCCCTTAATCGTCTAAACTCTATGCTTCTTTCCTTTTAAATCTCCTTGTTCTCCTCTTAAAGGATAATAACTACTGCCTTCAAAAAAAAAACTACCAATACTACCCCCATGTTCACATTCAATTTATTGTTTTCATCTTGCCTGCCTAGAACCCTTGAGACCCGAGCAACCTGTTCATTACAATCCAAATTGGCTGCACTACTAAAAAATGCGGATTTGGCACGGATCTTAATTTTGGCAACCACTTAGTTTTTTGGCTTTGGGGTGTGATGGAATAAATCAAAATGGATCTCTAAACTGTCTGCGTTTTTTTAATTAATGAAGTAGCAGTTAGTCAAGCAATGCAACTTTTGACGTTGAGTCGGGGGTCTCTTTGGAAAAAGCCTCTCTACTTTCGAGTAGGGGCAAGGTCTGCGTACACACACCCTCCCCAGACCCTACTTTTGTGGGATTTAACTAAGTTGTTGTTGTTGTTAATTTTGAATTTTCCGTGCCTAAACTATTTGTTGGTGATTTTAGCGTCATCGATTTATTTTGTGTAATTGGATTTACTTAGATTGGACAAGAATTTTAATAGACGTTGGTAAACGAGTTAGGAGGCGCGGAGTGCACGCTCGTTCAACGATATTACATATTCATTGCGGGGTCCGGGGGCTGCATCCCCCGGGATAATGGGGGTCCGGGGGCGGCAGCCCCCGGGTAGCGGGGTCCAAGGGGCGGCAGCCCCTGGTGGGGTCGAGCTTGGAAATTTTTTATTTCGGACGTTGTTTCTTTATGATAATCCTTAAGATTTTCGTGATCGGAGTCTAAAACGGTAAAGGACTCCAACGAGTGGATAACGTCGAAATTTACTCCAAAAGCCGCAGAAACTTCTCGCGCCTCTTCTCCGCGCGAACGTACACGTACGTTTACGCGAACGATCATGTCCGATCAAGAAATTTTCGACTCTATAAAATAGAGTCTCGTGGTATGAATTGAGGACGGATTTTCGAGTGCTTGTTCTTGATTAACGTCTTATCCGATTGAAGTATTTCGTATACCCCGAAATAACTTTGATCTGAAAGCGTTTTGTACGCGATTCGTTATACTATCGAGTTCTTCGTTTAACACTGCTTCGCAGTGTTCTTCCTCATAGAAATCCAACACTATTTGGCACGGATAGAGAGGCTGCCAATTTTGAAGCTCCAAACTTATTGGCATAGCAAAAAATCCGTGCTAAAAGTTGGCACGACATTTGGCACGGATAAATCGTGCCAAGTTCATGAGACAAAATTTTAATATGGCACAGAATTCATCCATGCCAACAAACGTTATGCCTAATTATGTGGCAAATAGGCACGACTTAAATCTGTGCCAATAAGAATTCGTCATAATTTTAAATTTCAAATTTTGAATTGTTAGCACGGAATGCGTCTGTGCCTAATGATCGTAGTTGGAAAAGAAAATTGTATCGGAGCAAGATGCACCGGCACAATTTAACATTTTTTAATTATTAATTTTTCCTAAAAAAACAAATTGATAACTATAACTAATTCATTGAAAAAATAAATAAAAAGAATATTCAAGCATTCAATAAATAAACAATCATACATCATATGTATTAATTAAGCATTGCATGTTCGTTTAGTTTTACAAACTATCCCTTGTAGGAAAATTTATATTCATAAAGGGGACATAAGGATTCTGCATTTCTGCTAACAACACGTGCATAGCTTCCACCATTGAAAATCAACATGTTAAATGCAGATATCTAAAAGATTTAAAATTCAATTTAACATATTAGAGAATTCAAAAAAATTGAAATATGCAATTTCTAAAAAGATTATTTAATTTTGAGAAATAATAAGTACACTATTACAAAAGATTTAAATTTAATAGAATATTTTTAAAAAAATTACAGAATCCTTTTTACATAATGTAAGACTAATTTCAAAATTTGGATATTATTTAACAACAAAAGGTAATGTTAAAATATACGTAGTGGAATATATTTAACAGCAAAAATATTTAACATACGCACAAAGTGTTTGAATAAATGGAAAAATGCTTAACATACAAAAAACATATTAACAAAGAAATTTTTTAATTTAATCCATAGTCTGTTACAAATAATGCACGAATAATAAAAAAAACTATAAAATCAAGAAAGACGAAATATTACAAACGTATAATTAGAAAAGCATTTACACAATTAGTGAACTAAGATAATAATTATTTGAGCACGACATAGGCCAGTTAAAAAAGTTGTACATATTATGTTTTGCAGGAAAACATCTTATTTAAGAAATTAGAGAATTAATGAAGACTCTGAGGAGTAGCAATATCAACCGCTCAAGAATGCAAAGTACGAAAATTGAAGATAGCACCCGGAGGACTTATTTACTTTCTTAAATTGATGATTCTCACAACTTAAAAAAAGTGGAGGACTTCTTGATGGGAAATAATACGTGGCTCGGCTCACATTTTCCAATTATTTACGAAAAATAATCAAACTGGGCATGTTTAGTAAAATGAAGGAATAAGAGAATATTCCTCCGAAGATGCTCCCCTCCTTCTTATAAAAGAAGGGGTTACCTTCAATGTGAGGGAGGTCTCTCTCAATTTACTCTCTCTCCTTGCCCACTCTTTCTCTCTCTAGAATCCTTGTATTTTTGTTCTTCAAGAAGCTTCAAACTTCCATTAATGACTTCTTAGTCTAAATCATGTACCGTGTACACACCTCAGATATTAATAAAAATCCCCCGTTGGCAAGGTACCGCCAAAAAAGGCCCATGGTTTTCTCTTGATTGGGTTTTCGCGTCAAAATCTCAGTGTTTATATTTTAGTGTATTTTTAGACTAGTTTTTCGTTTTTGCCCAGCTAAAAATGATATACCGGTCGATAATTTACACCATCAATTACTATTATAGTTGCTGTTGTCATCACGTTATCTCAATGAATGCCTTTAAGATAAAAAAAATATTGTTATTTTTCATATACAAAAAAAACTACTTTTGCACCATAGGATGCCTCAAATGAAATAGAGCACCAAATTCAAATTGTTATTGCAACACGCACTTTGCACAATTTCATTCGTATTCACCGAGGCAGCAAACAATGGGAGATAGGTCTAAGGTGATGTTTGATGAACAAACTAAATAAGCAATGAATGAGTTTAGAGATGAAATAGGAGTTAATATTCTACAATGCACTTAAGCTTAATTTAAGATACTAAACACGGAATATAGTTTTTACAATAAAAAAGATTCTATGTAACTATTTCATCCATAATTTTTTTTATATAGTTTAAAATATCAATATTTTCCTACTTTATCATGTAGATTAATATACAAAAAATGGTATTATTCATATTAAAAAGTTGAAGAAATAATACTAATGAGTGAATCATAAAATTAGTTAGATGAAAAAATGAAATAATTTATAAACTATAGTTATTGATGGTGTAAATTACTTGACCGGGTAGACTGTACTAGACCAGGTCTAGAACAATTCACTAGATTCAATAAAGTAAGAAAGGTAAAAACACGCAAAGTGACCGGGAGGACTTTAGGTGGAACACCTGTAGCCCAATTTATATTATAATAGAGAATGCACGGGCACTTTTGCAAGGGAGTTTAGAGAGAATGAATTCGGATCCCTCTTTCTGAGGTTTACAGCAGCATTTATACTAGGCTAGAAGGGGACACAGCGTCGTGCACCCACGTCGAGGCACGTTGCTGGGGTGGTGCGAGGTGACTGGCTTCGTCCTTTAGCTGTCTTGTCGCCTAGTGAGGAAGGTTGCCTTCTTGTCCTGTAGTACCTTGGATGGATTGTCCAAGCATCTCCAGCGATTCTCCACTGATCTTGGTCGCTATGGTCCAAACCACCTTGGATTCTTCCTTGCCGACGCTCTCCAACCCTAAAAGTTACGCCGGGTAATCTCAGAGGGTTAAGTTTATCGAAATTAGGGAATGATCAGAGTGATAAAGTACTTTGACCGGTACACTTTTTCCTGAAGTATACCGGTCATATTTGGACCGATCAAATATCAATTTGCTCACGATTTAAGTCTCCCTGCCAGATCTTTCATGATGGACCGGTCAACTATTTGGCCTTTTTCTTTTGACCGGTCGTGGGTAGAATGCACCCATCAATAAGCCCTCCACTTCTCGGTCATGCAATTTGTCATGAGCGGGAAGTAAAAAATCCGAAAACAGGACCTTAAATTCCAATTTTAGGCTTTTCCCGCCTTAGAATTTCAAATTTTGAATTTGAACTCGGAACTTTGACACGTATTGGACACCCGCTGCTGCAACGGTTGGCTGTCCACCCGTTGTTTCGCCTACCAGTGGGTCATCATTGCGCCGCCTGACGCGGCGCGCTCTGCACAGGCCACGTCGCTACCTTTTGGCCTCCCTCTTCCTATATAAAGGCCTTCAACCCTCTCCTTTGCTCACTTTTCGCGATTCAAGTCTCCAGAGCTCTCACCGGTCAAGCTTCCCTCTCTCGCCTTTCAGCCCTCCGAGCCAAGTAAGCCTTCCTCCCATCTCTACTTTCTTTCCCGGTTATGTCTTCCCTAGATAACCTTAGGGTTTCGTCCTCAGAGGACTGTTCCTCCGAGGGCTCCACATCTTCCTCCTCGACCGAGTCTTCTTCCTCTGATTCCTTACCCGGTCAGATCCCCAACTCTTCCGTACCCGAGCCGCAGCCTGTAAACCAAATGCCCGGCCAGGTTGCTATGGAGAGGGATGAACCGGTTGACAACGACCCGGGTCCCTATGACCCATATAATGAATCCTGGGAAGAGTGGGAAGAGCGGCTCCGAGCCACCGGTTACTTTCCACTCCCCACCGATTACGTTCGTGACATTCCCTCCCGCGTATCCAAAATAGCTTTGAATAAAATCCGTAGAAGACTCCCGGATGGCTACACCCTCCTGTACGAGCATGACTGGTCTAACATCATAGAACCCCACCGGGAGGATAGGATAGGGTTTCATACGGTTTCCCTAGAGGCGGACATTGTTTTTCCCCTGCACCCCCTCCTTACCGAAGTGTGCCACGCGTTTAGGATTCTACCCGGTCAGATAACTCCTAACGCGCATCATTACCTGCATTCCTTTGTAAATATTTGCTCCCACAACAAAATAGACCCTTCTTTGCGTCTTTTTCTCTTCTGTTTCGATGACCTACCCAGTGGGATCAGTTGCGAGGGCTTCGTGTATTTCAAGGGCCACACCAGTAGGAAGTTCATTTCTGACGTCCCCCAAAGCAACCGGGGATGGAAAGAAAAGTTCGTTTTTATCGAGTTTCCCCCATTCGTCACCCCCTTAGCCGGTCTAAAATGGAACGACCACCTCCTCAACCATGAGTACACCCTATCGGCCTCCTCCCCCGATCTTGAAGCAAGTGTGGAGATCTTTCTTCGTGGTGTTCCGTTCACCGGGAGGAAGTATAATTATGGAAGCTGGGTCTGGAGGGTCAAATCGGGTGGTGAGGGTACCTCCCAGGCCCATGACGCAGCGGGGCGCGGGGTACCCTCCCCGGGCAACACTGCGGAGGCTGAGGGCAACTCCCACCTAGGTATTTCTCGTCTATCTCGCGTCTTTTATTTGACCGATATCTTCTATCATACTTAGCATCTTTTTGCTGGTTTTTACAGATATGGAGTTCGAGGAGTTTGCCATGCCCGAAGACCAGCCAGAAGGAGAGACCGGTGATTCTCAGGCCGGTGCTACCAAAACTTTCACGATCCAACCAGAGACCGTGGAAGTCCATGATTTGGAGGAGCCGGAAGATGACCGGTCGAAAAGAAAGGGTAAGGAGAAGACCGGCCGGCGAATGAAGAAGGTGGCCACCACGCACCCTTCTTTTGCTAAGAAGAGGGCAAGGTCGAATTCTGAGCCGGCCGGCCAGACCATTGAAGAGGCCTTCATCAATCTGGGCCTGAGGCTGAAGGAGGTAAGTCCTGTTGCTATCCCGGTCTTGATATTCTTTTTCCCTTGACGAGAACCTTACCGGGTTGTTTCCTTGTGCAGGCAGGGGAGATCGGGCCCCTCACAGTGGACCGGTTGGGGATGAGCTTCCCTTCCAAAGTTGACCGGCTGAAGAGGGAGAAAGAAGAGATGGCTCTCATCTTGAATGGCCAAGTGGACGAGATGATCCGGCTGTCCGGGATGGCTGGGACGATGAAGGCCGAAATCTCCCAGCTCAAAGAGGAGAACTGCCGGATGCTTGATGAGGTATCCGAGGCCAAGAAGGAAATGGCTCTGAAGGAAGAGAACTTTCCCGGTCGTGCAGCTGCTTGGGTGGAGGAGAACAAGGCCGAAGTAGCCCGGGTGATGACGGCGACCCTAGAAACTACCATGGAGTCCTTCAGGCTCCCGGTAGAGGAGCCTGAAGGAAGGAAGATGATTACCGTCATTGGATCCTTTGGGTTCAAGAGTGGTCAGAAGAAAGACCAGGCTGCCTCTCACCGGGTCCTAAAGAAAAGGGATCCAAACTTCAGCGCAGCTGCTTACGGCTTGGCCTCGATTCCGGAGGAAGAGCTTACTCCCCCCTTCCCCCTAGATTAATCTCCCCGGCTGCGCCGGTTGAATTGTTTTTGTAAAACTTCAAACTTTCCCCGGGAATGCCCGGTGTATCTGTAAACTTTTAACATTTTTATTTTGTTGAATGCTATATTTGCCTGTCTTTGTTTTTGCTATCTTACTTTAAAAGGTAGAACTCCAATTTTTTTCTTGCCTCTTGATAGACTCCGGCCGGTTGAACTTCAATTTCTGCTATTAGACATCTCTAAGTTGAAGATCAACTCGAGTAATCCTGACCGGTCGAACTTTATTTTGGCTTTCGAAATGCCTTCAAAGGTACTTTGACCGGTGGATTCCCAACTTTCCTTTTGAATGTCTTCATCTTGATGGTCAACTTGAAAAAAGTTTGACCGGCTGAACTTCATTTTGGCTTTTGGATACCTTCATTTTGGAAGTATAAATTCTCCGTTGTTTCAATACCCAACCGGGGTATTCTTTTTTTTTCATTGGTAGGTTGTAGATGGAAGCACGTGTAACCTAGTAATTTCTTGAAGTATCCTTAACCGGTAAGAATACTAGAGATTTAACCATGTCGAATGGTTTCGAACCCTCTCCAAGGTCCAAATGCACCCTTCTTCCAAGGCCCCCTCTTCCGGGTGATTAAGTCTTTTAATGGCCCTTTGATTTCTACCATCCCGGGAAGGCCTTAGCTCACCCCCCGTTCAAGTCTTCCCTAGAAGGGGAAATCCGAACCGGTCAGAATAGGATGCGCCGCGGTGGACGATCCCTTTCTATTTCTTTTAATGAGCATCTTTTAGTTCCCAATCAATTTGACGGCACCGGCTGATTCCCCGATACCGGTCAAACCTCATGGGCCCGTGTAAGTACGGTTCGAACCTTCTTCCAGGTCCAGTCCTCTTGCAGGCATACCCCTCTTCCAGGGCCCCTCTTCCGGGTTTTATTATTTTTTCTATTATACTGAGCAAGACCGGTGTAGTAACCATCGTGCCAGGTCCGGGCCTGTGTCTCAGTTGGCTTATCCAAGTGGATTCGATCCACCCGGGAAGCCCTCCTAGGATAGGTTCGACCTATCATTTTTGCTGTTGCCATGTAGAATGCTGAATGTCATCAATTCGATTGATAATAAAAGTAGGCCTCACCTAGTACTACAATCATTTGTAAAATTTCCGAAGGTGATGAGAATTCCAAGTTCTTTCAACCGGTACGCCATCCAGAGTTTCTAACCGGTAGGTTCCCGAGCGAATGATAGCTTTCACCTGGTAAGGTCCTTCCTAGTTTTTGGCCAACTTTCCTCCATCACCCGGTCTACTAGCCTCTCTTCTTCGTAGGACCTCATCTTCAACTTGGAAGTATCGCGGCCCAACCTTGTTGTCATGGTACTTTTTCACAACTTGTTGGTATGTACTCATTTTCACCTTTGCCGCCATCCTTCGTTCCTCGACCAAGTTGAGCTCGGCTAGATGGTCTTTTTCATTTTGTTGGGGTTGATAATTTGATTCTTGGAACGTTGGGAATTCAGCTTCGATGGGCAGCCCTGCTTCACACCCATAGGTTAAGGAGAATGGCGTCTCCCCATGAGCCCTCTTGGGTGTTACTTGAAATGCCCAAATGATGTGTGGGAGCTCCTCAAGCCACTTGTTTCCCGCTTCTCCCATCCGCTTTTTCAAACCGTCTACAATCGTTCGGTTGGCATTTTCCACTTGGCCATTTCCTTGGGGGTAGGCCACCGAAGAACGATTGTGCTTAATTCCGAAGCCCTCCAAGTATTCAGTGAATCTTGGATTTCTGAATTGCGGGCCGTTGTTAGTGATGAGGTTCATGGGAGCTCCAAACCTTGTGATGATGTTCTTCCAAATGAATTTTTTGCATTATTGCGTGGTGATATTGGCCAATGCTTCGGCTTCGATCCATTTGGTAAAGTAATCGATGGCCACGATTACGAACTTCTTCCTTCCCTGGGCAATTGGGAATGATCCAATGATATCCACCCTGAATCTAGCGAATGGGATGACATTCGATACGGGGTGATAGTAGGTCGCCGGTCTACCGGGATACTTGTAGAATACTTAGCACGTTCTGCATTTCTGAACGTACCTCTCGCAATCCTGGACAATTGTTGGCCAATAATATCCCAACAAGATGATACACTGGGAAAGGGTACGGGACATTTGGTGTGCTGGGCACACCCCTTCATGGACCTCAGCAATGACTCTTTCAGTTTCCCGGTTAGTCAGGCACCTCAGGAGAGGTCCCCCAAACGCCCTTTTGTATAGCTTTCCATCGAGGACTTGGAACCGTGATGCCCTGAGCTTCACCTTTCTTTCCTGGTCTTTTTGCTCTGGCAAGCTCCCATCCATCAAATATTCCATCAGATCATACATCCAATGGTCGTCCGCCCCATCCATCAAATATTCCATCAGATCATACATCCAATTTTCTCGATGCTGGCTCGATCCAAGATTTCCACCCGGGCAAGTTTTGAAACATGCTCGGGAGCATACTGCGTCAACTTGGAGAGAAGGTTTGCATCCGCGTTCTCCGCCCGGGGAATTTGGGCGATTTTGAATTCCTCGAAGCCTTTCAACAAAGCAAGCACTAGGTCCTTGTATTGCGCCATTCGTCCTTCTCTGGCTTCCATGGTACCGGTCACTTGCCCAACAATCAGACTCGAGTCAGATTTAATACTGACCTGGTTGATTTTCAGTGCTTACCTTCTAGGGTGGTAAACACAATACCACCGACGTACCCTTTAGGACCGGATGCCTCATCTACTGCCATCTCCCACCATTGCTCAGTGGGCTTGTTGACCGGTAGGTCTGTAGTTAGACCGGTCATTTCTACCAGGAAATCCGCAAGAGCCTGTCCCTTGATTGCTGATCTTGGCCGGTACTCAATGTTGAATTGAGTTAACATCATAGCCCACTTCACCATCCTCCTGGAGGACGTTGAATTCCGCAATACCGCACCTAGTGGTTGGTCAGTCAAGACTTCAACTGGGTGAGCTTGGAAGTAGGATGTTAACTTTTTCGCGAAAATGAAAAGTGCATATGCAGTCTTCTCCATCGCCGTATATCTACTTTCAGCTCCATTTAGTGCTTTCCTCACATAATAAATGGGCTTTTGTGCCCCATCATCTCTTATTATAACGGAGCTTACAGCATTTGGGGAAACTCCCAGGTACAGATACAGAGTTTCACCCGGTTCGGGTTTAGACAATACAATATCCGACACTAGGTACTGCTTCAATTCTTCAAATGCCCTCTGGCAGTCCTCATCCCATGCAAACGTATTGGCCTTCTTCAGAACTTTGAAGAAGGGAAGGGATCTCTCGGCTGACCGGGAGAGAAAACGGCTGAGGGCCGCTAGACGACCGGTCAACTTCTGTACATCCCTAATCGAGGTAGGGGACTGCATCTCGGTGATAGCCCGAATCTTTTCTGGGTTGGGTTCTATCCCTCTCTTGGTCACCATGAATCCCAAGAACTTCCCGGTACGAACCGCGAAGACGCATTTCTTGGGATTCAACCGGAGGTTGTATCTTGCCATGATGTCGAATGTGGCACGCATATCAGCCGGGTGGTTGAGAGATACCTGGCTTTTGATCAGCATGTCGTCGACGTATGCTTCCATGGTCTTTCCCAGTAGCGGCTTGAAGAGTTTGCTCACCATGCGTTGGTAAGTTGCTCCTGAGTTCTTCAAGCCAAACGCCATTACCGGTAACAGTAGGTTCCTTCGGGCGTGAGAAATGACGTCTTCTCTTCATCTTCCTTGGCCATGTAGATTTGGTGGTAACCCTTGAAGGCATCCATGAAACTTAGGAGTTCGCACCCCGCAGTTTCGTCCACCATTTGATCTGGACTGGGAAGGGGATATGAACCCATCGGACAAGCCATGTTCAAGTCCGTGTAATCCACACACATTCTCCACGTGTCGCCCTTGGGAGCAAGGACAACGTTGGCCAGCCAATCCGGGTATTTGACTTCCCGGATGTGACCAACACTGAGGAGGTCCTTCACCTCCTTCCTGACGAAGTCTCGCCGGTCACTGGCCAGGTACCGCTTCTTCTGGCGTACCGGTCGACTTCCCTTTCTCACGGCCAACCGGTGGCAGATAACAGAGCGATCTATTCCAGGCATATCCGCCACGCTCCATGCGAATATGCCCGCGTATTCTTGGAGGACCCGTGCAATCTCCATTTTGAGATCTTCTGGGAGATTCGCTCCAATTCTGACCATCCTTGAAGCATCACCCGGGTGGAGTTCGATCTCCACCGTCTCGGCCTCGGGATCCAGCTTCTCCCGAGTTTCTCCCTTGGTGATTTCCTGGGAGATGACGTTGACCCCCTTGGTCATCTTCTTGACTGCCCGGGCATAGCACTCCCGGGCATTCCTCTGGTCGCCTTTCACCTCACCCACACCACCTGGAGTATGGAACTTCATGCACAGGTGAGACATGGAAATCACCGCCCCGACTCTATTGATGCCCGGCCTTCCAAGGATGGCGTTGTGGACGCATTTGATGTCCACAACGATGAACCGCATCTTCTTCCACACGGTCTTATCACCTGATTCTAGTTCAGCCGGTAGAACTATGGACCCTTCAGCCTCCACTGTATCTCTCGTGAATCCTGAGAGAGGGATTTTGAGAGGTTCAAGTTGCGTCTAACACAACCTGAGTTTTTGGAAAGTCTATAGGTACAGAATGTTGACACTACTGCTGGTGTCAATTAATACCCGGGCAACATCCACCTCATTAATATCCATGGTAATGACCAATGGATCATTGTGATCTTCGCCGGTAGGTGGGAGATCCCGGTCAGTAAAGACGATCCGCTCCCTCCTGATAAGCTTACGCCTGGCCGGTTCATCACTTACCTCACCAACGTAAATGCTGCGGACCCAGTTCTTCCGCTGCGCGGCTGAATCTCCAACCTTCTTCTCCAGCCTCTCCAATTTTGCCTCAATCTGCTGGACGCGATCATTTGGGACAGCCAGCCGGTTAGCCACCGGTCCCCTAGGCTGGCTCTCAGCTTCCTCCTCTTGACGGGAGACCCTCGTCCTTGCGGGCTCCTGCTGGTTTGACCAGGAGCGCTGGGTACAGGCGGGCTCGGCCTCCCTCCCCTCGCCTAACCGGGCGAACGCGCTGACATGGGCAATGCTCTGCCCTAGCCTCAGTTTGGCTGACTTTCTCTGGCCCTCTTCCCTGTCGCCCAGCCTTTCGAAGGCGGAGTTTTGGGAAGTTGCTGGCCGGATGTTTTTTTCCTTCTTCTTCTTGTGGGCCCTCGGAATGTCCCACTCGCCGTCACCGCTCTCAACTGAGACGCAATGACCATCAGGGGTGACTTGCGGATTCGTACCCTGTGGAGGGCGTGACTGTCCAGCGGCGTTAAGCGCACCGGCCAAATTGTTGGGGGCCACAGCACTGACCAGCTGGGGCTGGAAAGGTGATGGCTGTGGCACTGGCGTCTGGAAAGGAGACACTGCCATCGGAGTTTGCAGGAGCATAGTTCCAGCGCCTGGAAGGGCAAATGGAAACATACCTGGGAGGAATGGCATCCCCCCATTCTGTTGGCACATGACCATGACCTGACCAAAGCCTTGAATGGCTTGTAGGTTGGCCGGGTCATTCATGAACTGAGTCATGCTTGGTGGGAATGTGACCCTTGGTCCAGCAGAAGGGACAGGGACGGTGAACGGGGTGACCACGCTTGGTGTTGGGATTGAACTCAGACCCAACGGCAGCGTAGGAGCAGAAAAAGCCGGTTGGCTAGCAACCATAGGGATGCTGACCGCCTCAGTGGTGGCTTGCATCTGAGCTGAAGTAGCGTTCATTTGCTGGCTTGAAGACATTTTGAGTGGTGTTTTTGTGGTAGGTTTGCGTTTGGATGAAAAGAAACCTTAACGGTCCCACAGGTGGCGCCAAAAATGATGGTGTAAATTACTTGACCGGGTAGACTGTACTAGACCGGGTCTAGAACAATTCACTAGATTCAATAAAGTAAGAAAGGTAAAAACACGCAAAGTGACCGGGAGGACTTTAGGTGGAACACTTGTAGCCCAATTTATATTATAATAGAGAATGCACGGGCACTTTTGCAAGGGAGTTTAGAGAGAATGAATTCGGATCCCTCTTTTTGAGGTTTACAGCAACATTTATGCTAGGCTAGAAGGGGACACAGCGTCGTGCACCCACATCGAGGCACGTTGCTCGGGTGGTGCGAGGTGACTGACTTCGTCCTTTAGCTGTCTTGTCGCCTAGTGAGGAAGGTTGCCCTCTTGTCTTGTAGACTGTACTAGACCGGGTCTAGAACAATTCACTAGATTCAATAAAGTAAGAAAGGTAAAAACACGCAAAGTGACCGGGAGGACTTTAGGTGGAACACTTGTAGCCCAATTTATATTATAATAGAGAATGCACGGGCACTTTTGCAAGGGAGTTTAGAGAGAATGAATTCGGATCCCTCTTTCTGAGGTTTACAGCAACATTTATGCTAGGCTAGAAGGGGACACAGCGTCGTGCACCCACGTCGAGGCACGACTCGTGTACCTCGTCAGGTTGGGCTGTTAGTACCCGATACCGTGACTAGCACAATAGCGAATCCCTAAGGGTGATTGATGGTCCCCCATAAGACCAACAATCTCCCCCCAACGACACCCGGGGGATTCGAGCCTACTTCCTTGCTCCGATACCACTTGTAGGATCGTTTTTCTGGAACTTCCCAGTGGGTTACCCATCCTGGGACTACTCCCGTTCCAACACGCTTAACTACAGAGTTCTGAAGTTAAAGAGGTGCCAAATGCTTCCTAAAACCAATTGGTGATAGGAAGGTGGACACTTTGTATTTAACCACATCTCTCTGTAGCCCAAGCCGAGGTAGATTCCTATAGGGCACCCCCTATAGTTCACTACGGCAGTGCGGAGCCCCACTACTGAGCGGTGGATGGACAGGAGGGGCTTCGCAAGATACACGACTCGTGTACCTCGTCAGGTTGGGCTGTCAGTACCCGATACCGTGACTAGCACAGTAGCGAATCCCTAAGGGTGATCGATGGTCCCCCATAAGACCAACACNAGGTGGACACTTTGTATTTAACCACATCTCTCTGTAGCCCAAGCCGAGGTAGATTCCTATAGGGCACCCCCTATAGTTCACTACGGCAGTGCGGAGCCCCACTACTGAGCGGTGGATGGACAGGAGGGGCTTCGCAAGATACACGACTCGTGTACCTCGTCAGGTTGGGCTGTCAGTACCCGATACCGTGACTAGCACAGTAGCGAATCCCTAAGGGTGATCGATGGTCCCCCATAAGACCAACACTCCATTGATCTTGGTCACTACGGTCCAAACCACCTTGGATTCTTCCTTGCCGACGCTCTCCAACCCTAAAAGTTACGCTGGGTAATCTCAGAGGGTTAAGTTTATCGAAATTAGGGAATGATCAGAGTGATAAAGTACTTTGACCGGTACACTTTTTCCTGAAGTATACCGGTCATATTTGGACCGATCAAATATCAACTTGCTGACGATTTAAGTCTCCCTTCCAGATCTTTCAAGATCGACCGGTCAACTATTTGGCCTTTTTCTTTTGACCGGTCGTGGGTAGAATGCACCCATCAGTTATGATCATAATAATTGTAATAATAATAATAATATATCGTTTTTAGAGTGATTTGTCGGAAAGTAGAAAAAGTTTGAAGAAAATAAAAATAGTTGGAAGAAATTGGAAAAAACTGGAAGGAATTGGAAAAAACTAGAATGAACTCGAAGAACTGGAAGAAACAGGAAGGATTTGGAAAAAACTAGAAGTTAAGAGTTTAACTCTAAAGAACAAACTCTTAGTCAAAAGTGGAACTCTTTTCAAAAATAGAGGGAGTACATATTTAAAAACAATATCAAAAGTACAACAGAATAAGTGGTGACAAGAAAATTTTATTTTATCATATATGCCATGAAAAATACAAATAAATAAAAGTTCTTGTGAAGTTGAAATACTGTTCTAAGAAGAAAGATATGAGACGGAGGAAATACTATTTTATTAATTAATTAATACTTTTAATAATTCTATAAACGGAATTCATCTCAAATGAAATTTCTTTGATACTAACATATTTCCTTCATTCCATATTAATTGCGTATTATGATTCTACTATATATATAAAAGCTGAATGAAAAATTCTGCTCAATTTGGCACACGTGGCACTGTGGCAGTAATCCATGCAATCTCAATCCAGCAGCATTTACAATTACAAGTGGACAAATGATCATACATATCATTTGTAGTGAAAATACATTTCCTTTATAAGCTTAATAAATCCAAACCAATTGGTTAAAAAAATCAAGATCAGAAGCACTCCGGCCCAACTTCAAATCCATCCTCACATTAATGAATCCCATTGCCTTGATTCTTTGAATCTTCCTAAACAATTTTGTAAATGAGCACATACATAATCTCCATTGTGATTTCTGCCAGTTTTGTTAAAATATATAGACATACTACAGTGTCAAATATTGTAAATACGAAATAAAGATGCTTTGAAATGGGCACAAAAAAATCCAAATTTTATTTCAATTTAATCAAATATTATAAATGAAATAAAGACGCTTAGAAATAATTTTCCAAATGGGAAATAAAAAAGATGATATAGCCATGGCTGCAACTACGATGTCAAATTTCGGCTAGCCACACCGAGATACAAATCATCATTTCATTTCAATTCCGAAGGAGAACACCACCATGGTTGTAACAAATGGATGGAATTCCCAATTGCCCTACCAAGATATGGATTATTTAACCAAATGTACCTACAGAAAAATGACAGGTATCTGTTAAATATATTGTATATATTTAATATTTTGTATAGGTTTCCTTGTGTTCTCCTACCTTGTTTAGGATTGAGACTCCTCTTATATATATACATGTAACCAGAACCTATTCAATCAATGAAAATCATTATTCTTCATGGTATCAGAGCCTAATTAAACAAAAAAAGAAACCCTAACCCTACTTCTCGGCTCTCCCTCTCCCTCTCGGCATTTCCAGCGGCAGCGCCGCCTCTCCCTCTCGTCGCCGGCAGCAGCCCCTCTCCTCCTTTCGTCGCCGGCTCTCTTCTCTCCAATGGCCAACAGTGAGGTCACCTCCAACACCAACGCCACCCCGGCAAAGACTCCTCATCTTGCTTTCACGACGATCTCCAGCGTCAAACTCCATGTTCCGAATCTTCTCAGCCTCTCTCAACCGAACTACAAGAAGTGGAGTCGCCTCTTTCTCCTCCTGGTTCGCCGATTCAATCTCCAAGGCTACATCAACGGCTCCGTCGTCCCCCTATCTGAAGACGACGATGAATGGCTCCAACATGACGCTCTCCTCTAGGGATGGATTCTGTCCACCATCTTCGACGAAGTCTCCGATCTGGTTATCTCCTCTGTCTCCACTGCTTCTCCTCTCTGGAAGGTTATTCACGATCTATTTCACGACAACAAGAACGCTCGTGCCATGCAATTAGAACACGAGTTCCGCACCACCGTAAAAGGCAACACCACCATGGCGGCCTATTGTCAACATCTGCAAAATCTTGCCGATTGGCTAGACGATGTTGATGCCCCGGTGTCCCAGCACCAACTTGTTCTTCAGATGCTTCGTGGTCTCCCCGCGGATCTGCAGGCCCAAACATCTTTTCTTCAATTTCAGGATCCGCTGCCCACTTTTCTACAAGCCCGCTCCGCTCTCATGTTATTGGACCGGCAGCGGTCTCCCATGGCCAACACCGGTAGCACGGCTCTTCTCGCCGGTCGGCCCGGCGCCAACAGCGGCGGTCGGCAGCCATCCAGCGGCGGCATCGGGGGGGCCTAGCAGGGCGGCAGCAGCGGCGGCAGCTTCCATAGCGGTGGGCTCCAGCACGGCGGCAGCTACGGTGAGGGCAGCTCCTTCGGACAGTGCAACGGCTATGGACGCGGCGGCGGGCGAGGCAACGGCTCTTAGGGTAGAGGTCGTGGACGACAAAGCAGCTCGAGGCAACGGACTTATCCCGACGGACCTAACGCCTGGAACTCACCTCACCCAAACCATAACCCGGGCCTATTGGGCCCACGTCCCATGTCTACCCCCCACCCTT